AACTCATTTCCTATTCTATGTGGATGATCACTGTAGTGAGGGGACGTTTCACAGTCCATCAGCTGGAAGAGAAAATGGAGGTAATTGGCAGTGAAGGGGGTTCTTTTCTCCATTTTCTGAGGAATAAGTATGTTAGTTACTTGTATTTTTTTTTTTCTTTTGTTCTTTTTGAGACAGGGTCTCCCTGTAGCCCCAGCTGTCCTGCAACTCACTATGTAGACCAGGCTGGCCTTGAACTCACAGAGGCTGCCTCTGCCTCCCAAGTGCTGGGATTAAAGGCATGTACCACCATGCCCAGCAACTACTTGTATTTTTTTTAAGAAGCAGGCTGTTCTATGTTGATTTTACATTTTTAATTCTATCAGGGTTAGCTTCTCCAATATCAGAATTGACTCCCCATTAAAATCACTGTATTATAGTAGTGTAGTTAGTTTCCTATCAACTAGTTTTTAAGTCTAAAACATTTATGTAGAAGAAAATGATTATAGGTTATGTCCAGTGTCTAGCCAAGTGGCAGCTCTGTTTCCTCATCATTGTCTTAGCCTTTCCCAGCTCTGCTCACAAAAGTTAGGAAAGGCTTGGCTCGGTGGATAAAGCATTTACGATGCAAGCCTGAAGAACAAAATGTGGATCCCCAGCACCCACATTAAAAACCCACTCGGGGTAGTAACCCTCTTGTAATCTCAGTGCTCAGGAGGCAGAGCTGGGATCCTTAGGCAAGCTGGCTAGATACCCTGCCTCAGTAAGTGGAGAGCCATCAGGAAAAGGCATCTGAGGGCCTGGTGTGGTGGTACACACCCTTAATCCCAGCACTCAGGAGGCTGAGGCAGGCGGATCTCTGTGAGACGGAGGCCAGCCTTGTTTACACAGGGAGTTCTAGGCCAGCTGGGGCTACAGGGAGACCCTAATGTCAGCCTCTGGCATCCATACACAAACATGCACATATACTGCATACAGTGCACATGCAACCCCCCTCCCCAAACAAACCAAAAAACCCCAAAAGGTTAGGAAAAGCAAAGAAAGCTACCTCAGGTGACTTTTGAGTCTTGTTGGTCCCACTCAAAAAGGTAACAAGTTATATCATTAGATGAAAGCTTAAACCATTCTGGAACTAGGTGTGGTAGTTGATACCTGTAATCCTAGTCTGATGCAGGAAGATCTAGAAGTTCAAGGTCATCCTTGGCTACATAGTGAGTTTGAGGCTAGCCTGGACAATGTAGCTCCATCCTGAGTGTGGGCTTGAACTAGAAAGATGGTTTTGAGCATTTTATTTACCAAGATAGCCATAGTCAGCTTGGCTTGACTATCTAAGACTAACGCTTCCAGTGATCACATTAGCAATTTCTGATTTTCAGTTCTGTGGCAGAGACTTCTTAGAAGCATAAAACCCTGTCCCAATGACGTCAAATTCGCCCGTTGGCTTAGAAGGCTCAGACCTGTCTTCCATCAACACCATGATGTCAGCAGTAATGAGTGTAGGGAATGTGGCTGAGAATGGTGGGAGCCCTCAGGGCATCAAATCCCCCTCGAAGCCTCCAGGACCAAATCGGATTGGTAGAAGGAACCAGGTAAGTGTCTTTGGGCCTCGTAGAAGCAGCCAGTAGCTTTGGTCTGAGGAGAATGTAGAGAGCTGTTCCCTAGCTCGCTAAGAGGAAACCTTGGATGCATGCTAAATTAAAGATACACCCACAAGGCTGGGCATGGTGGTGCACACCTTTAATCCCAGCACTTTGGAGGCAGAGGCAGGCAGATCTCTGTGAGTTCAAAGCTAGCCTGGTCTACATAGTGAGTTCCAGGCCAGCTGGGGCTACAGGGAGACCCTGTCTCAAAAAGACCAAAAAAAAAAAAGATATACCCACAGACCTTAATCTTTTTTCAGGAGCATCTGCCATGGTGTCATTGTAGGGGAAAGCATTCTTATTTCTTTGCCTTGTGATTTGATCTAGACACAAGCTTTCTTCACATTATGGTCAAGGCAGCGAACTTGACTTCCTCTGCTGTGATGATTGCTTTCTTATTTGCACAGCTGGTTTGATTTTTTTTTTTTTTTTTTTTTTAAATTTTTTCAGATTAG